CTTTCACATCTGTCCCTAACCCCCAAGGAGCGTACAATCTAAGGCTAAGGCCCTAATCTAAGGCCCTAACTCACATACACATACTAGGACCAATTTAGACAGGAGCCAATTAACCTACCAGCATGTCTTTGGAGTGTGGGAGGAAACCAGAGTACCCAGAGGAAACCCATGCAGGCACAGGGAGAACATGCAAACTCCAGGCAGGTGGTGCTGTGGTTGGGATTCAAACTGATGACCCTAGTACTGCCAGGTGGAAGTGCTAACCATTTAGCCACTGTGCTACCCATGAATGCGATCCAGCATTTCTGGGTAGAAAGCACGTGTGCAGGGGCGGACTGACCATTTGGAAACTCGGGCACTGCCCGAGGCCCCGGGGTCAGTAGTGGGCCCCATGAGATGCCCCTGGTACATTTTTCATAGGCTTTTTTGAGTTTGGGCAAGGACACAGGGGCCCCATGATCCCCTATTGCCCGGGGGCCCCATGAGTTGTCAGTCCACCCCTGCACTTGTGCATGCCCACCGTCCCAGCTTCGCTGTCATTTTGATACAGTACAAGCCTATCAGCAGGTCCCGGCCTATGATTTATGACCCTGACCAGCTGATCGGTGCAGTGAATGATGGAAGAGTGCTCTGTTGGTAAACTAGACAGAGCTCTCTACAGACAGCAGAGGTGTTCCATTTTTTTCTCCCTGCAAAGCAGGGAGTAAAAACTGACACGTTGCTTAGTAAAAGCACCACACAGTAAACACATTAAACATTGTTAGGCACACCATTAAGCCTATGATTGCCCCTTGTTAACCTCTTCCCAGCAAAGTGTTAATTAGTGTCAGATTGCTCGCTGCTCTATCACAGTCCCACTATCAGTCGCTGATCACTGCCATTATTAGTATAAAAAAATAAATACAAATTCCAGTATATTGGCTAAATGGTTAGCAGTTGTGACTGGTAGTACTAGGGTCTTGGTTCAAATCATAGCCACAGCAGCACCTGCCTAGAGTATGCATGTTCTCCCTGTGCCTGCGTGGGTTTACTCTGGTTTCCTCCCACACTCCAAAGACATGCTGGCAGGTTAATTAGATCCTGTCTAATTTGGCCCTAGTAAGTGTATGTATGAATGTGCGTTAGGGATCTTAGATTGTACGACCCTTGAGGGTTAGGGACTGATGTGAATGTACAATATATATATATGTAAAAGCGCTGCGTAAGTTGACAGCGCTATACAAGTACCTGAAATAATAAACAGTATATATCCTATAGTTTGTAGACACTATAACTTTGTGCAATTCAATAATATACGCCTATTGGGATTTTTTTTACCAAAGACATGTAGCAGTATACTTTTTGATCGAAATTTATGAAGACTTTTTTTTTATTTATTTTTTTTATTAGATATGTTTTAAAGCAGAAAGTAAGAAATATTGGTTTTATATTTTTCAAAATGTTCAGTCTTTTTTCATTTATATAGTAAAAGATACACCAAGTGGTGATCAAATACCACCAAAAGAAAGCTTTATTTGTGTGAAAAAAATTATATAAATTTCATCTGGGTACAGCATTGCATGACTGCACAATTGCCAGTGAAAGCAATGAAGTGCTGAATAGCAAAAAATGGCCTGGTCACGAAGGGGATAAAAACTTCGGGAGCTTAAGTGGTTAAGGGCACTTTGCATTTTTTTCTTTGTAGAGTATAAGACAGTTTTGCTGTAGTAGGTTGTATACATCGTACAGATGCATCGCTTTACAGGCAGGTTAAAGGCACTCCCCAGGCATGTTATTTAATGGAATTTGAAATTTTTAATGTTGACCATAAAGAATTATTAAAAACACTGATCTCTGCCACATAGAGTTTAAAAAAAATTGTTTTCATTTTGGTACATGTCCCCCCAGCACAGTTGACAGCCCCCTTTACCATTTGTTTAACAATCCCTAGCCTGTTAGCATAGAAAATGGACATTAATGTTTTTTTTAAATTTGGGTTCGTATTCGACACTTGAACTTTAGTCATGCTCGTGAACCGAACCCAGATACATTTTGCCAATCCCCAATTTTAACAGCCAAGCAACTAGTATTTTTATTTAGTTACATATGTACACAAAAACACAATCTCCTTTCAAAGATATGTACTATACCACTCTTATTTTGCACAGTGCACCTACTCTGTTACCATTAAAGGTTGTGATCATTGGATAGACAAAATGGAACTTGGTGGGGTGGCATCATTACTCCGCTTACTTGTATGCAGTTCAGTGCCAGAGTTCAGCTTGGATGTGTGAATTGAATATCTCTCACCACTAGGACCTTTCATCTGTCACCCAGTGCTCTACTCTGTTCTCAGTCACACATTTCTATAATGGCCTGGATGACTGACATCAAGTAGAATTTAAATATCGCTCTGTCTAGTCTTAGTGGCTGAATCCAAAACACAAGTTATTTTGCCTTCATTCATTCTTTTATCAGGAGACAAGTATCTTTCTTGTCCATTATTATCTCAGTTGGCAAATATTTGATTCCCTAGTGTACTGTATTAGGGCCAGTTCACACTACATGCATTTCAGTTGCTTTTTTTCTGCATCCAAAACACACAGAAAGTAGGTTACATGGTTGTCAATGTCATAGCTCACATCAGTGCTTGCAGTTCCAGTGCGTTCCCGTTGTAAAAAAAAAAAGTAGAAAAGGCTGCATTTTTCCTGCACAGAACTGTACTGGAACGTGGTAAAATGCATCAAGAATGCACATGTTCATATTTAAATTGATGAAAAAGAGAGGGAAAAGTATGAACTGGAAAGCATCAAAAACGCACCGGAATGCGTAAAAATGCATCAATAACTCATATGCGGAAACATCAAAAACGCATCCGGACTGCATTTCAATGGTGTGAACTGGCCCTTAGAGAATTTATACTCATTAAAGTGAATTTCAGGGCAAAAGAAATAAAATCATACTAAGTTCATCTCTACAATACATGCACATTGTGATATGATTTTTTTCTCTTTAAAGATCCTTGAAGATCCTTTTTGCATATTTCATGGTCCAGCTGCCATCAACATAGCAACGATTGATGTCATGCAGTGCAGCGCATAGGGGGAGGGCACTGTACAGCCATGCTAACTCAGCATCACCAAGGCTGTACACTACACCCCAGCCCATCCACTTTCTCATATCAATGTCACTAGTCCTGGTGGGGCACAGATCACGGTAATCACTGTAGTAGTGGCAACTCAGGTATGAGATGTGGATATTTACATTGTCCCAAGCTGGACCAATGTAACTATGCAATAAAGACTAGACCTAGATTTCAGCTTTAAAATGCTGAAAGTACAAAAAAACACCCACAGATCTGCCAGAAATTTAGTGTACTCTTAAATTCCTTTAGTGATCTGCCTCCTGGGGGAGATCCCCATTTACCAGGCAAGAGATTATGGGAGACTTGCTTTTATTACTGCAGCAGAATTTTGAGCAATGATGCCTTCCTCCATTGTATTAGTGTACCTCTTTATTAGGTGCTTTCCCAATACGGAAGTAAATTTCCTCCTCAGGGCAATGAAATCACAGGGGGAAGGGACATCTTCCCGGTTTGGGGTTCTGCTGTGAACTCTACCCAGGGTGAATTGGTCTAGCCTTTTTTGCTGCAAGCTGCCTGCCGCCCTATAGCAGAAATACTGCTGCAGGGCTGCGCAAAATCATGTATATATACGTGATTTGCATTTCTGGGTAGGAAGCGCGCATGCGCAGTGCCCTACCCACACTGCCATTGGCTGCTAGGCATGTCAATCACCAGGTCCCGGCCGGAGATTCCCCATCGGCACCCGGCGATCACTGTGTAAAGCTGAGAGTGGAGAGACCTGTGTGTAAACAACACAGGTCTCTTCAGCCAGCAAGGACATGCTACTTTGTATTTGTTCTGCACATCAGAGAAATACAAAGTAGCATGTCTCCCAAGTAAAACACACACAGCACATGATGTAAAATACAGCACAGTAGTTAACCCCTTCCTGCCCAGTGTCATTAGTACAGTGTCAGTGCTTTTTATTAGCACTGATTACTGTATTACAGTGTTATTGGGATGTCATTGGAAATTAGTCAGTTCCTACCTAGTGTCAGAATTCCCGCCGCAGTACCACAAATCCTGCTGTAAGTCGCTGATCACTACCATTACTACTATAAAATATGTAATAAATACAAATTCCAGTATATATACCGCCATTTTTAGATGCTATAGATGTCATGTAAACCAATTAATTTACACATATTGGGATTTTTTTTAGCAAAGGCATGTAGCAGAATACATTTTGGCCTAAATTTATGACAAAATTTGATTTTTAAAATTTTTTTATTGGATATATTTTATAGCAAAAAGTCAAAAATATTTGGGGTTTTTTTTCAAAATTGTTGGATTTTTTTTGTTTATAGCACAAAAATTAAAATATGCAGAGGTGATCAAAAGAAAGCTCTATTTTTAAGGGAAAAAAAGGACATTAATTTCATTTATGTACAGTGTTGCATGACCACACAATTGTCAGTTAACCTCCCTAGCGGTATGATTATTTCAGATTTTTGGTGCTGAAAGCGGTACCATTATTTTGCATAGAAATATGTAGTTTTTTTATTGTAGGCTGTAATTTTTAGGAATAACTCACTGAAATCTGTCCGAACAAGAGTCTATTAAACATCCCGGGTATGATAAAATTTGAAACACGAAATCATAAATTATAATTTAATAAATAATCATAAAAAATAATAATATAATAATAATAAATTTAATTCAATAATATAATCAAACCAAAAACACTTAAATTTGAAATAGAGTGCCAACTTCGCACATTGCTGAGGTTAGTCACAAAATCGTTTTCAGTGTCTGATGACGAATTTCTCCACGAATCATTATCACTCAATTCTGCAAGTGGTTCTGATTTACTATCACTGTTCACTAGCTGGTCTAAAACCACTTTTGACCTAAAGGGACGCTTTTTGGACGCCATGGACTTTTCTCAGTTTCCAGGCAGAAAGAACAGACAAAATGCAGGCAGGGCACAGGACAAAGCACTAGGGACAAAATGTATGTGAAATGGATTGAAACAGCAATGTTTTACTATGTAAAATTTGTGTGGAAAAAAATGAATTTTTTTTTAATTTTCAAATTTCCCGCCGCCGGCGGCGCGCCCGTACGTCCCGACGTCACAGGGACCGGAACACAGAAGCCGGATGCCGGCATCGGCCGGAGGAGATGGCCGGGGACGTTGCAGGGGACACATCGCGGGAGCGCAGGACAAGGTAAGCTCTGCAGGGACTCCCAATGCAGCGCCGCATGGTAAGCCTGAGTGTAGCTCAGGGTTACTGCTTTTGATACTGACATTTTACCCCGAGCTACACTCGGGAATACCGCTAGGGAGGTTAAAGTAACACAGTGCCGTTTCGCAAAAAATGACCTGGTCAGGAAGGGGGGTAAATCCTCTGGAGGGTAAGTGGTTAAGATTTACATGAACCAGTTTGCTCTTTTTTACTCATAATTTCCATTCAGATCCCAGCAAAGTTTTAGCCCCCCAGTCTATAGCTCTTTCTCTGCCTTATCTCACTAACTATGCCAGTTCAGTTACCATTGCTGTGTACATTTGTTTTGTTTTTTGGGGTTTTTTTTTTCACTGTCTCATTTTAACTTGCCGCTAAAACTGTGTATTAGTACTGCTCGGACCTTGAAGAAGAGGGTACACCCCAAAAGCTTGTCCTGAAAAATTGTTAGTGCAAATAAAAAAAATATCATGGACGGTACTCAATTGTTTCTGACATAAGTGCATTAATACGGCTTCAATCATCTCAAGCTTAGCTTAGGTTTGAAATTAAGGAAAACATTTGATTGGATGCTGTGGACAATGCAGGCATATTTCAGTTTGAATATCTCACTCACTCAGTTTCCTGGATAGCAACAAATGAATATCAAAACAAAATAGGGATCCTTATGAGAATCTACTCTGTTCCGTCATCTGCATTTTTTCTAAATCTCTCAATTATTTGTGCACCTAACCCCTAGTAAAGTGTGTGTGTGTGTGTGTGCATGGAGGGATTCAATAAAGCATTAACACTGCTTTTCTGATGGCAACACCTGTGACATAATGTCGACCAGTGACACATCTCCCACCCCATTCAGATGCCAGCTGGGAAATTCCACTGCCATCAGGTAAATGGCAATGGCCATAATTGATCAATGAGAGCAGCCAGCATCCTGACAGCATCAGGATGTAGCTGACAGCATCCTAGCAACCCATGATGCTTGCAGTGTGGCAGGGGCTGAACATGCACTGGTGCAATATGGACACTCTGGTCTCCGTGTAATACTCCTCCATGCCAATCTGTCACAAGTGCAAAGCTGCAATGCAGGCAGCTTAAAGTGTTAATTTCAATAATACAACAATAGTACACTGATGCCACAATTCAAATGACTGTCTACAACATTGTATGAATTCCACAGATACATTTGTGTCTTTACTGCAGCATTAAGGGGTTAGGTTGGCAGATGATAAGAAGTTCACAATAACTGTGGATTGCACTGATTTTCCCAAAGCAATCAATCAGCTTCACCTTCAGTCAAATAATGAAATATCAAAGGGTCACTATAGAGTCGGCCAACATATTACAAATAATTTGCTTGCATATAGATGCTGTCAGGTCAAATCACCATACTTGGGACACTTTCCAAAGTTGGTGAGCAGCACGCTGTGTCACAAACTAGACGATTGTTTAATTGCCATGACAAGGAGCAAAGAGATCCTCCAGTTCCAATACAACCTCCCAGTATGTTTCCAAAATTGAAGAGATTAAAAAAAAAAATGTATATTTTTTATATATATATATATATATATATATATATATATATATATAATTATGTCCATATATATTTGGACACAGGCACAATTTTAGTTTTGTTTCCAGGTATTTACCAAAAATAAGCTATAGTTTTATATAATGGATATGGGCTGAAAGTGCACACTCTCAGGTTTAATTTGAGGGTATGTACATCCAAATTCCTTTTTAGGAATTACAGCTCTTAAGAGTAGTCATCCTCCCTTTTTCAAGGGACCAACATTAATTTGACAGTTGAATCAAAAGCCATTTCATGGCCAGGTGTGGGCTACTCCTTTATTATTTCTTCATCAATTAGGAAGGTAAAAAGTCTGGAGTTGATTCTAAGTGTGGTATTTGCATTTGGAATCTATTGCTGTGAACCTACATCATGTGTTCAAAGGAGCTGTACATGCAAGTGAAACAGGCCATTGTAAGGTTTCAAAAACTAAACAAATCCATCAGAGAGATAGCAGCAACATTAGAAGTGGCCAAATCAACAGTTTAGAACATTCTAAGGAAAGAAGAATGCACTGGTGAATTCAGCAACAAAAAAAGGCATGGATGTCCATGGAAGACAACAGTGGTGGATGATTGCAGGATCCTCTCTATAGTGAAGAAAAACCCATTCACAACATCCAGACAAGTGAAGGATACTCTCCAGGAGGTGGACGTATCATTGTCAAAGTCTACAATCAAGAGACGACTTCACAAGAGCAAATACAGAGGGTTCACCACAAGGTGCAAACCATTCATAAGCCTGAAGAATATAAAGGCCAGATGAGACTTTGCCAAAAAACATCTAAAAAAAAGCCAGATCAGTTCTGGAAAAGCATTTTTAGACGGATGAAACTAAGATTAATCTGTACCAGAATGACAGGAAGAAAAAAGTGTGGAGAAGGCTTGGAACAGCTCATGATCCAAAGCACACAACGTCATCTGTAAAACATGGTGGAGGCAGTGTGATGGCATGGGAATGCATGGCTTACAGTGGCACTGGGATATTGGTGTTTATTGATGATGTGACAGAAGACAGAAACAACCAGATGAACTCTGCAGTGTTTAGAGATATACTGTCAACCCAGATTCAGCCAACTGCAGCAAAGTTGATTGGACGGCACTTCACAGTATAGATGGACAATGATCCAAAACACACTGCAAAAGCAACCCAGGAGCTTTTGAAGGAAAAAAAGTGGAATGTTCTGCAATGGCCAAGTCAATCACCTGATCTCAGCCCAACTGAGCATGCATTTCTCTTGCTGAAGGCAAAACGAAAGGCAGAAAGATCCACAAACAAAAAAACAACTGAAGACAGCTGTAGTTAGAGCCTGGCACAGCGGCAGAAAGGAGGAAATCCAGTCTTTGGTAATGTCCATGCGTTCCACACTTCAGGCAGTCACTGCCAGTAATGGATTCTCAACAAAATATTCAATATGAACATTTTATTTATGATTATATTCATTTGTCCAGTTACATTTGAGCCCCTGAAAATGGAAGGGCTGTGTATAAAAATGGTTGCAGTTCTTAAAAATTGTACTTGATATCTATATTCAACCCCTTGAATTAAAGCTGAAAGTCTGCACTTCAAATTCATTTTGATTGTCTCTTTTTAATTTATTCTGGAGGCATACAGAGTCGAAAGTATAAATTGTGCCTGTGTCCAACTGTGTGTGTATATGCTATGTATGTATGTATGTATATATATATATATATATATATATATATATATGTGTGTGTGTGTGTGTGTGCATATATATATATATATATATATACATATATATGTGTGTGTGTGTATATGTACATATTATATAGATAGATATAGAGGTGTAGGTGTAGAGATTGATGCTGTTCTTGTCAAAAGTGTTGTACAGTTAAGCAGATATCTGATTTTCTTTTTTTTTTTGCTTTTTCCATAAAGTTTATTAATAAACTCAGAGCATACAAAATGTACAGGTAATACAAGGTATCAGTCGGAAATACAATAGGAGGTAATGCACATACAGCGAACAAAAAGATACATAGCAATGCATAGACAAAGAATCAGACGTAAGCCATCCCAGGGGAAAGAAAACAGGGGAAAAATGAGAACATGCTAGCGAAGGAACATTAAAGGCATATCTGGTCTCAAGCCCTTATTCAGCATATTGGAATCACAGCACTGGCAGGGTCAATGATATATAACCTCAGTTACCGTGCAGCAGCAAAGAGCAGGGCAGGGCCAGTGAGTCAAAGGTATGCGTTGGAAATATATACAGTAGGTGTAGAGGGGGGGGTGCAAGGGCAAATTTAAGAAAGGAAAAGATCTCATTTTATTACCTGGCCTTTCATATCCCTTTCTCTTGCTCCATGAGATAGGTGAGAAATGATAATAGAACAAATAATAGGTGTAGCCTACCAAAAAAGGTGCGAATGTGAAATTTCACCTGTCAATGAGAAAAGACAGAATCCTCAGCAAAAGATTGCAAACCACACTTCAACTACTTTTACGTGAGTAATTTTAAAAGTACATTATAGAAAAAACATGAGCATAATGCGCTCTCAGCAGTGGTGGGAAAAATTCATCTGTATGGAGCTGATCAGTTTTCAAATGACAATATCAAAATTTATTAGAAATAGTAAACAAAACATGTGGCGATTTCAGAATCAATTGCTCCATTGGTAGATAGACTCAGATTATCAAAATTATGCTTTTAAAAAAACAGATTGGCATGTGTATGGTCAGCATTAGGTTCCCTTAAAGAGTAACTCCACTTTCGTGAGAAAAACACTTCCCTTCTGGGTGATCTGTGTACATTGTAGGAATTTTAATAAACTTTGTTGCAGATTCCTATCTTTTGATATCCTGAAGAATGAGCTGTTTTTTTTGTCCATGTGGAAAGTGACTCTAATGGAAGTGATGTCATAATGATCAATCAGCTGCTGAACCAGCAGGACTCTAATGAGGAAAAATTGCAGGGTCTGCATCCCTTTAGATGTGATTTCCTATTGATAATATCTCAGAGGATTCCTGAAAATATGATTTGAATCTTAGTGAAGACTTCTGGGAAAATCAACAAGCCAATCACACAAGCAGGAAATGATATTCCTGGGGGGTGTTCTGTACACATTCGGTGTACAGAACACCTACAGGTAGCCATATTGCATTGCATTTTACAGAAAAATTACAGTGCTGCAGATTGAAAAGGAAAGGTAATTTTAATAACATTCAATTACAATATGACTTGTGTCACTGTTGCATATGCTATATTTTTGTTTTTATTTGCTACTTTTTTCACACGAAAGTGGAGTTACCCTTTAAGGCTTGCTCCCACCAGCAGCATGCTGATGCTCTGTAATCAGTGCATTGCACTATAATTTTCTTTTCAGTGCTTTGAGTTGCCATGAGAAGGAACAAGGCTTTTTTGCATTTTCCATGTGCTGGAACTGTGTAAGCTGCCCAATGCACTTCACGTTATCCAGTGTAAATGGGCAAATATGGGAACAGTTTCAGGAACCAAACCAACAAACTGCTAGACCAGA